ATTATCGAACGATATCAGGAGGTAATAATCTTTGGCCAATATTCATCCAGTCATAATTAGGCTTACATAATGGATATTAGATAAATAGTAAATATTTAATGTAGAATGCAATGAAATATTAATATACCAGGAGTGAAGAAATCAGCGAAAGTAAAGCTAAAATAATGATTTTCCCTCTTTGATAATGCTGTATTTATTATCTTCCTGATCAATGATTATAATACATCAGTGGAAAATGCGACTCCCTAATGTTGAGATTTTCTATGGTAAGTGCAATTTATATCGTAAATGAAATGGCCATACGTGTGTTACCTATAATTCACTATAACTTAAGTGTATTGCGGCAGCTTTTGTACTTCCTGATTTGTAGTATAATAATAAGCAGAGCGAAACTCAAACTGATCACCACTAATGCACTTACTATTATCTATGCTATTGAAATACAATTACCTTCAAGCTATGAAATGCAATAATGATCCCGTCCTGTTACGCACTTTAATAAACTTAGGAGTTAGCTTCGACTGTGCAAGCTTGGTAGGTATACAAGCAATGTAATGATTAATTCTTAATAGATAGTTTATCAAATTTAGGGAAATTAATAAAATTATAATTTTCAGTTAAAATATTGATCGATAATATACATGATAACTAAAAAGTTTATGATACTACGTACTTAATCTAATTTCGGTAGTGTAATGTATATGCATTCTTGAAATTTGTAATAAACGTCCATTTGTTATAGGTTAGGATGGATTATATTTTTTTCCCTAATATAAATTTATAGTTCTTTACATGGCCATATTTTTTATTCTTCATAATACTTGTAGGGTGAAATACAATCGATAATCAATGCAGGTGTTAATCCAGATAGAATTATATACGCAAACACTATTAAAGCAATATCTCATCTTAGGTAACTGAGTGAAGCTCGAGCTAAATTGCTGTTGGATGTGTACTGTGGTTATCTGACGTTCTTTGCAATCATGCAAAATATATTACGCTAGATAATCATCATGCGGTAGTAGATCATTGGGTATGTGCTTATTTTATCGATTATCAGGTTGC